CCATATGTCATACCGCAGGTGGACACCCCAATCAGACTGCATTTTTCGCCACGCCAAATTTCAAGAACTTACCAGTATACCAAGCACCTCCTTTTTGCAACGAAACATGTACGATAATATTAATAATAAACATTAGAAGAACAGTAGGTCCTCCGCTCCGACTACGTCGGTGCTCGGGCCCTAATAAGAATAATAAACATTTGAAGAACAATAGGTCCTATGCTCTGACTACATCGATGCTCGGGCCCGAATAACAAACCAGCCTATAGGGTTAGAACTAGTGCTGGGCAAGTTAACGCGTTATTATCGCGTTAACGCATTAATTGATTAACGCTGACAATTATGTTATCGCGCGTTAACGCATTTTATTTATTTATTATTATTGTAACAGATTGTCTCATGTTTATCGTTTTGTATTGGAGATGATATGTCCCTTCAGGGTTGCTGTAGCGAAAAGGCGACTTCCGCTTCTGTTAGAGGGGGGGGGACAGAAATAAACAGAAAAGCCGTGGGCTGAACCAGCTGTTGCTCTCCCTGGAGACTACTGGACATCGCTGCGGTAAAGTCAGCAGACACTCAGATCTCCCTGGTCAACTCAGCAGACACTTACACTTTAGTGCACCTATATGCTGAAATTCACGGTAAACGCATTTAAACGGCACAGATTGGGAGTGAGCAAAGGACTAGAGTTAGCAGAAAGATTAACGTGAGACAACACCCGGTTTCTTCAGAGGAACATCCGGTTTTCAGAATAAGATGCCAACAAAGTATGAATTATATTCACATTAAGTATAAAACATGCTGCATCTCGTGAGTTAAAGGGAAAATACACCTAAATTGTGGGTAAAGTGTCTTTATTTTTTGATCGCTGGGTAACCATCATCGCCTCGGAGTTACAGCATTATATTGATGAACAGTAGAGCTGCATTCACATGCTGTCTGTCATGAATACAGACATTTTTGCTGAAACGTGCTGAAACATTTTATTCCTGTTTCACATACAGTCAGCACACTGAGCACAGATAGTGAAGAGATAGAACTGCTGCTGTGTAAAGAGAATACTGCTGCTAACAACAACCTGATGTGTTTAAAGTGTTTACAAACCAAATGTTATTGACCTTTTGTTCATATAGTAGTACTTTTGAAATAAAAGTGCGCAATACACTACTTTTGAATTCATTATTGAACTTTGCCATAACAATGCGATTAATCGCGATTAAAAATTGTAATCGTTGCCCAGCACTAGTTAGAACCCTAACAAAAGGCAAGAAGCACCTGCAGGAACAACACACAATTGACATATGACAAGATCAAGGGGTCAAGACAGTAGGGGGCAGAAAGTTGCTCCCAGACGGCATTTGATTAGCAAGCCTTTACTGCCCAAATGTGTATGTTTTCTACATGAGTTGTGAGTCATTGTTCTGGTTTGATCTCAATTATTAAGTGATCCTGAAGTGAGCAAACACAACATTTGTATTCTCTTCAATTAGCTGTTTATTTACTGAATCTCCACCAATCCTGGCAAACCATGGATACACAACATAACTATTCTATGGGTCTTTCTCATTTCAATCAGGAGAGACTTCATTAGAATGATTTATTTTACATGTATTACAGGTACCAACTGGTACCAAATAGACAGATGATAGTTTCTGCAAACAGGACAAATAAATTTGACAGGGCAACTTCACTCCTGTTCGTTTAGCCTCACTTGGCAGAATCAGATTTATTTACCATATGCAAAACAAATCTATTTGATTCTATTCTATTTGCCATCTTTACGAACACCGGAAAATCAAGCTACTTACTTACAAACACATTATATATCTTTACAGAAAGCCATTTCCTGGTTACTTAGCTACTAAATCAATATGTTCATTTAGCAAGACTCATTTAACTTAGATTACTTCCTCACCCAACTGCAAACAGGAGAAATAAATTAGACAGGGCAACTTCACTCCTGTTTGTTTAGCCTCGCTCAGCACAATGAGGAAAACGGCATCACAATGTTATGGTCGTAAATCACTCTCCTGTCGTAACGCCTACCTAAAGCAAAGTAAAGCGCCACCCTGGCTACAGGATGGAATGTCAGTCATTTATAAAACTATTGCTAGAATATACAAGTGTGCTCACTATAAAAACATGTTGGCTGTACATGAAAACAAAATACATTAACACACATGTGACAACACATTGGTGGGCGTCACACATGCATAAGAATTGAATAGTGCAAAGTCTTTGGTGATCGGACTCCATCCTGAAGTAATATAACCGAGGGTAGGGATGCTGAGGTCAGATAAGGCCTAATGCCCCTGGAGTCCAGACACTGGTGGTGGTGGTGATGAAGATGATGAGGAGGAACAAGACTGTGATGATGACTGGAGGGTAGACTTTTTTTTTTTTCATTAAAATTTCAAATTTAGGGATCACTGTAATATTACAGTGCACAATGCTGGTTTTAATCCTAGTTTTTGTCTGACTGTTATGGATGACAAATGACGTCCCGTTGCAGTCTGGATGTATCATGCTCATAACCTATAATTTCTTTGTTAGCTCTTTGTGACACCAGAGGAGATAAACTAAACAAGAGCTGGAATGAGCTGCAAGAACTGTTGTTGGTCTCTGGACTTTCCAACTGTGTACATGTAGCTCTGATGATGCAGGATGACATCATAAAAACTGTTCAAATTAGTTACCTAGTCAGTCCATCTGACTTCATGTTTACTTAGTCTGGATCAATTGAAGAACTAGTGGTGTAAACGCACTTGCATAGCTCTCAGGGTTTCCTTGTCTGTGGAACTTGTAGTGACTTTGGTTTCATTATGGTCCTCCCTCTTTTTCTGCCTAATTCAGGATAAAGAATCTCCATGCTCAGATCATAGAGAAAGACGCTATGATCAAGGTGCTTCACCAGCGCTCCAGGAAGGAGCCCATCAAGTTAGATGCGCAATCTGCCATGAGGCCCACCAAGTCCCTGATGTCCATTTCCAACACTGGCTCTGGTGGTTCAGGAGTGCTCTCTCACAGCCTGGGCCTCAGTAGCTCCCCCATCACCGAAGAACGCAAGGACACCAGCTGGAAGGGCAGCCTGGGTAAGAAACAGAACCAACGGTCATTACAAAGTATTTACCCCATGTAACACTTTTAAGAACAGCAGCTGAACGTTACTATGAGTGAGGATTGAGGATAGTCAGTCACTTGTAGCTACGGTGCTTGTAAGTAAAGATTGCTCTCTTCTCATGTTCCTCCAGGGGGTCTGCTGGGTTACGAGTTTCGCACAGAGTCTCTCAGGACCGGGTCAATCTCATCATCTCCCTCACCAGTGCTTCCTTCCACCCCCATGACCGCAGGTCACTCGAAGACCGGTAGCAGGGACAGCTGCACGCAGACCGAAAAGGGACAGAGTCAGGACACCAGCAAGCCCAGCACTCCAGGCCTGCAGAGCATGACGCTGCCTGCTCGCCTGTTCAGTCCCAGCCCAGTCTACATCCCGGACCGCATAGCAGGTTAGCTCACACTGTCTGTCAGACATATCGGTATGAGCTGATGAATGTCAAAGGCTCTGATCACACTCACACTATGTCTCAGTTGGGCAGTGATATCTTGTGGTAATCAGGAAAAAATTCAAAGGCGAATTCACAAAGAATTGATTGCAGCATCTTGTACATCACTTGCAACTGATATCTGCGCCCTTCACAAGATACCATTCACAAATGATAGTGCACTAATGATATTGCAGTGAAAACACTACTACTAAGTGCAATTTGCCTTTTTTTGCATCTGATTGCAGTTATCCATGTGGCAAAGTATAAATGTTGCCTTGGCGCCAAAAACAGTAGGAGGAACAATGGCAAAGAGATAAAGATTAATGAAATGTTAAGACCGCAAGCTACAGGTCCCAACCGAGGACGTGTATTCCTCAAAACGTCCGGTAAGGAATTCATACGTGACTGAGAGAAACTATATTTGGGATTTAATCAAACGAAGATTGTTATCAAACGCACACCTTCACACTGTAAAAGATGGCATGATTTGAAGCATTATAAATCGCTTATAAATAAGATTCAGTCACCAACAACGGTCTGAAGAAGCTAATAATTTTACTTTAACTGCGTGTGGCTATTAGCGCTGATCTTTGGGAGTTGGACTGTTTTTGCAATCAGGCTCATTTGCATAGAAAAGGGACAATTTTGCTCCAAATGTCTGCATATTACCTAATGTAAATATGTGCAGATAGCACAGGCGCACTGGCAGTGCAGTTAGGGGTGCATTTCACCCTTTGTAGGTGCTTTGAGAATTACATAGTTTATTTTTGTCTTATTTGTGCAGGTTTAGCCGCTGTAAAAGCCACACAATCTTTTAGGAAATTTGCCCCTTAGTGTTTTCACCAAAGTGTTCTCAGAAGAGTCTCACAATGCATCCTCAATAGTAGAAGCTAAATAATTTTCTGTATCAATCAATGTGTTGGTTATAATCTCAATTAAAGGTAGTCTATAAAATGTCCAAATATCTTGTTTTGCCCAACCCAAAGACAAAGAATGTTCTGTCTTTTGATGTTGTGTGTTACACCGACCCTTAGGCAGCCTTTTGGGGCAAACAACACTCCACCACTGACCCAAATCAACTACAGAGGACACATTTTAAAACAATCATTCACATAAACCATACTAACAAGACAATACAAAATCCTAAACTGAGAGACAGCAAGACCAACAGTCCCCATACCAGAGGCATCTCCGTTCTGATGCTGGCACAGGATCTTTTAAGCACTTCATTCCTGGGACAGTTACACAAGTTGAGCAATGCAGTACACCTGGACAGAGCTACTAGAGAAGGAAAAGGGACAACAGCACAGGGAACATATACAGTCGTAACATCCCCACCGTTAAAACAATAAATAAATAATTGTCACACTGTCACTCAATCACATAAGTGTAAAAGCATTTCAAGCTTAGTCTCTACATGCAAGAGTTCACTTTGACAAATACCATCATACTGTCTAATTGAAACTTGTACTTAGCATATAAAATAAAAACTTCTTATAAAAGCTGTATATTAAAGTAAAATACTGCTAAATACAACGATTGAAAACAGTCAGTCCACAAGACAACAGTAACTACCTAAGCATTTAGACGAATCCAAATTGCACTCATGCCAGGGAACTAACAATGTTGCTCAGAGTGCCCAGCTCTACACTTCGTCCTACCTCAATATTTAGCAAATGTAACGGAAGTTCAGGACAGGACCCAATAGGGCACTGATGGACACTGGTTTGATTTGTGACAACATGAAATGTTGGGTGGATCCTCATGGACGAGGGGAGTTTCAGATGGACCGAGGAAGGGTTGATAATGGCCTGGATCTCAAACGGGCCAATGAACCGGGGGGACATCTTCTGGAATTTGGTCCCTAACGGGATATCCTTGGAGGAGAGCCAGACCCTTTGACCAACTTGGTAATGTGGAGCAGGGTGCGGCGGCGATCCACCAGGCGTTTATTTTGTTCCGCCGTTCAGAGGTGGAGCTGAACTGAGGGAACGGCTATCTCCGCCGCCTGGGCAGGGAACAGAGGCGGCTGGTACCCCAGGGAGACCTCGAATTGAGTGTGACTGGTAGCAGATGAGGTATGGGAGTTGTGAGCATATTCCACCCAGGACAGATGAGTACTCGAGGTGGAAGGGTTTGATGCTGCCACGCAGCAGAGGGAGGCCTCCAGGTCCTGGATAAGTCGCTCTGTCTGCCCCGTTAGATTGGGGGTGGAAGCCAGAGGACAAACTGATGGTCGCGCTGAGGGCCCGGCCGAAGGATCTCCAGACCTGGGATATGAATTGTGGGCCGCAGTCTGAAACGATGTCCACTGAGACCCCATGTAGACGGAACACCTGGCTGACCATAATGTGAGCTGAGGGAAGCTTGGGCAGAGCGATGAAGCGAGCCGGCTTGGAGAAGTAGTCGATCACCATAACGATGACCGTGTTCCTTTGAGAGGGCGGCAGACCAGGGCGATATGAAACCAGGGACTGGAAGGGGTTGCAGCAAGCCAGCGGGAGGTTGGTGTGAAGTCTTATTTCGGGCACAGGTTGAGCAGGCGAGGAAAATGCTCTAGTGTCCACTTCCAGCGATTTCCACCAAAAGGTCCTCCGAAGCAGGTTAATGGTACGTCTGACGCCAGGGTGACAGGAGAACAGGGAGATGTGCGCCCACTGGAGCACCTGGGAGCGTGCAAACAGGGGAACAAAGAGGGGTCTGGCGGGGTCTGGAGAGCATCCCATACCACTGATTCCATTTCCCAGGTGAGAAAGGCTGCCACACACGTCGCTGGGAGGATGGTGTTTGGATTGGAGGCGTGACCCTCGGGGGAGAACTGGCTTGGTTTGGTATTCTTGTGGCCTGGACGGTAGGAGATGGAAAAGTTGAACTGCCTGAAGAACAGGGACCACCAAGCCTGGTGAGAGTTTAACCTCTTGGCGGTCTGGATGTACTCCAGGTTTTTATGGTCCGTCCAGACCACAAATGGATAAACGGCCCCCTCCAGCCAGTGTCTCCATTCCTCGAGAGCCAGTTTGATTACCAGCAATTCTCTGTTTCCGACTTCATAATTTCTCTCCGCCGGGGTCAACCGGAGAGAGTAGTAATCACAAGGGCGGAGCTTACAGTCAGAGTCCAAACATTGTAACAGGATGGCTCCCACACCTACTTCGACAAAGAACCATCGGGCTGAGTCAGGATGGGGGCAGAGAAGAACCACTCCTTGAGGAGTTGGAATGCCTGGCTGGTGTCTGGTGTCCATACAAACGTGGTTTTAAAGGACGTGAGTCTAGTGAGGGGGGCTGCTACCTTGCTGTAGTTCCGGATGAATCAGCGGTAGAAGTTGGCAAACCCCAGGAATTGTTGAAGCTGTTTCCGAGAGGAGGGGGTCGGCCATTCAGTCACAGCCTTGATCTTTTCCGGATATGTCCTAACGTGACCCCTCTCGATAATGACCCCCAGGAACTGAACTCAGATCACATGGAACTCGCATTTTTCAGTCTTAACAGTTTGTTCTCCAGTAGGCGCTGGAAGACTATCCGGACAAGGTGCTGGTGCTCCTGAAGGTCCGCTGAGTAGATGAGGATGTCATCTAAATAAACAAACACAAAACGGTTCAGAAAGTCCCGAAGTACGTCATTTACCACATTTTGGTGAGTCCAAAGGGCATGACCAAGTACTCAAATTGATCGAGGGGGGTGTTGAACGCCGTTTTTCACTCGTCCTCTGCTTGGATCCGCACCAGGTGATATGCATTGCAGAGGTTCGAGCTTAGTGAAGATCGTGGCTGCTGAGAGGGGTTCAAACGCTGAGTTAATCAGAGCCAGGGGGTATTTGTTCCAAGTGGTGATGCTGTTCAGGCCCCAATAGTCGATGCAGGGCCGGAGGCTTTTATCCTATTTAGAGACGAAGAAGAATCCGGCTCCGAGTGGTGACGAGGATGGACGAATGATTCCGGCCTTTAGAGATTCTGAGATGTACTCCTCCATTCTCTGGTCTGGACAGGTTATATAAACGACTGGACGGGAACGAAGCGCCTGGTTGGAGGTCAATAGCATAGTCGTAGGGTCGGTGAGGTGGTAAGGAGAGAGCCCAAGCTTTGCTAAACACCTCCCCGATGTCATGGTAGGCAGTGGGTATGGAGGCGAGATCTGGCGGAGCAACCGGTAAACCCCCAGAGGAACCTCCAAGGGGCAACGCAGATCCTAGGCAGTTTGCATTACAGAATGGGCTTCATGCGGGAATCTTCCCCGCCGTCCAGTCAGTCTGAGGGTTATGAGTGGTAAGCCAAGGGTGGTCCAGCACTAAGGGGGTTTTAGGAGAAGGAAGCGCATAAAACTGAAGTCTCTCTCTGTGATTTCCGGACAGGATGTGCCGAAGCGGCTGGGTCCGGTGGGTGATTCTAGCCAGGGAGCTGCCATCCAGGGCATTGACCATTAGTGGGCATTCTAGCGTCTCTAAGGGAATATGGGCTCTGGCTACTAATTCTGTGTCCACAAAATTTTGCTCCGCTCCAGAGTCCACCAATGCTGTCAGCGAGAGGAGTGCAGAGAGAGAGGTGCAGGCAACAATAGTCTTGGTAGGGAGCTGAGAGAGTGCCCGGGTCCGCTCGCCAGTAACCCCACCATTACTGGCGAGCACCCCTTTTGGCCGAAGTGGACAGGAGGGAATCGAATGTCCCGGGCAGCCACAGTACAGGCACTCGCCCGCTCTGATCCGCCTTTCTCTCTCCTGCGGTGAAAGGTGAGCGCGGCCGAGCTGCATTGGCTCCACCTCCGAGGTGAAAGAGGGGGACGGACTTGGAGCTTGAACCCGATAGGCTGGCGCCGGAGTACGGGAGCAGAAGCTTGAAGAGGATGACGTCGCAGGCGATGCCCCTTGGGATCTGTAGTTCCTCTCACGTCGCCTCCTACGCATGCAATTATCAAGTCTGATCGTGAGCTCGATTACCTCATCCAATGAATCGACTTCACCACGGG